CACAAGAGAACTGCATTTATTTTTAAAATTCTTGATTTTATTTTCTGTATATGTGCATAAAAATTAAGCTAGAGGATTTATCTATGAAATCTTGTCAATATATTGACCTACTCTCTGGTACTGTGTATTATACTTTGCTTACTACTTTCTAAAATGCCAATATCCTATACGTTTCTCTGAAAGGCCATTTCATATACGTATTTTCTGATTGGCCATTGGATATATGTACTTTCTGAAAGGCCATTGCCTACATGTACGCTCTGAAAGGCCTGTGTATTTAAGCACTTTCTGAAAAGCCAGTGCATATAAGTACTTTATAAAGGCCAATCGAGACAATCTCTGGACCAATTTTGTTTAAATTGAAAAGCAATCAAGGACCAATAAACCCGACCAATTTCTGCTGATGTCTGTATGATGTCTTTATGATGTCTGTATGATGTCTGTATGATATATGTATGATGTCTGTATAATGTCTGTATGATGTCTGTATCATGTTCATATATTATATTTTTAATGACAAGGGAGGCGACTGTGATTAATGTCATTTCCTTTTGTGATTTTATTAAAAAAAACTTCTTCCTTTCCCTTTTTTCTCCCCTTCTTTTAAAATTCTACTTGATACATTTTTGAACGAGGATGACTAAGGGAGGCGAACACTGCTGATTTCCAATATTTATGACGTATGTAAAAGTTGCTTTGTACTGGTACTAAAGTGAATGTGATGCACGAGCGACCTAATTTATGTACATTGTGTACATCGTGAGGTAAAAATACACATGATTTATGTAAATGAGTGGTTTAATTAAAACAATAAAAAAATGAATATGCAAACCGAAAAAGCGTGTCTTTAAAATTTGTTTGTGTTGAATGTTGATCATCATGTGTGTGGAATGTTGATCATCATGTGTGTTGAATGTTGATCATCATGAGTGTTGAATGTTGATCATCATGTGTGTTGAATGTTGATCCTATGCGTTGAATGTTGATCGTGCGTGTTGAATGTTGATCGTGTGTGTTGAATGTTGATCATCATGTGTGTTGAATGTTGATCATCATGTGTGTTGAATGTTGATCCTATGCGTTGAATGTTGATCGTGCGTGTTGAATGTTGATCGTGTGTGTTGAATGTTGATCGTGTGTACAAAGCAAACCGGACGAGAGACGGTGGAGGAAAAAAAAAATCTACAATTGCACAACAGATTCTTGTAGGAGGGTACGGACACGGGAATTCCCGCACGTTTCAGCAAAATTTCTGTCCTCCTTTATGAGGGCTGACAATTCATTTCCTGTGAAGACTTTAATTCACTCGTCATTTATAAATGGCATCATGCCATGCCAAACGGTTGGTGTGTGTGGGGGTTGTAGGGATGAGTGGGGGTGAACAGACCAGGGAGACATAATTATGCCGTAGGCGACAAGATAAAAAACGCTATTATTCTATCAGAATATATATTCAATACAAGGCCCTAATGTCATGTCACGGCCCTAATGTCATGTCACGGCACTAATGTCATGTCACGGCCCTAATGTCATGTCACGGCCCTAAATGTCATGTCGCGGCCCTAAATGTCATGTCGCGGCCCTAATGTCATGTCACGGCCCTAATGTCATGTCACGGCCCTAAATGTCACAGGCAAAGGTTTTTTCTTGACTATGCCCTAAATGGCATATCAAAAGAGTTTGTTTTTCTGGACAATGACCTCAGTGTTATGTCACAGGCGCAGTTTTTTATAGACAAGGCCCTAAATGTCATGTCAAAGACGCAGCTTTTTATAGACAAGACTATAAATGTCATGTCAAAAGCGCAGCTTTTTCTGGACAATGCCCTCAGTGTTATGTCACAGGCACAATTTTTTATTGCTATGCCATAAATGTCATGTCAAAGAGGCAGCTTTTTATTGACAAGGCCCTAAATGTCATTTCACAGGCGCAGCTTTTTATTGACAAGGCCCTAAATGTAATTTCATAGGCGCAGCTTTTTATTGACAAGGCCCTAAATGTAATGTCATAGGCGCAGCTTTTTAATTACAAGGCCCTAAATGTAATGTCATAGGCACAGCTTTTTATTGACAAGGCCCTAAATGTAATGGCATAGGCACAGCTTTTTATTGACAAGGCCCTAAATGTAATGTCATAGGCACAGCTTTTTATTGACAAGGTCCTAACTTTAATGTCACAGGCGCAGCTTTTTATTGACAAGGCCCTAAATGCCATGTCATAGGCGCAGCTTTTTATTGACAAGGCCCTAAATGCCATGTCACAGTCGCAGCTTTTTATTGACAAGGCCCTAAATGTCATGTCACAGGCGCAGCTTTTTATTGACAAGGCCCTAAATGCCATGTCACAGTCGCAGCTTTTTATTGACAAGGCCCTACATGTCATGTCACAGGCGCAGCTTTTCATTGACAAGGCCCTAAATGTCTTATCACATATTCGTAATAATATAAGAATTGTTTTTAAAAAGCCAATGATAAGGGTAATCCTAAAAAGCTTTTATAATAATGACATGATATAAAAGCAGAAAAATATTTGACACCTAAAGTTTTCAAGAAAATAGGAGGAAAGAAATGACGCAACTTCAACTGTACGGCAGATCATTTGACGTCAGCTGTAGCGCAGATCATTTGACGTCAGCTGTACGGCGGATCATTTGACGTCAGATGTACGGTGGATCATTTGACGTCAGATGTACGGCGGATCATTTGACGTCAGCCGTACGGCAGATTATTTGATGTAAACTTACAGCAAACTTTGAACGCCAACTTATAGCGGATCATTTGGCGTAAACTTACGGCTGATCATTTGGCGTAAACTTACGGCTGATCATTTGGCGTAAACTTACGGCTGATCATTTGGCGTAAACTTACGGCTGATCATTTGGCGTTACCTGTTCGGCTGATTATTTGATGTCAACTTACGTCACTTCATGTGACGCAAAAAGTACGACAGATCATGTGACGCCAAATATAAGGCAGATCATGTGACGCCAAATATAAGGCAGATCATGTGACGCCAAATATAAGGCAGATCATGTGACGCCAAATGTACCTTCCTTGTGCAGACGCACAGAAAAACATCAAATAAACTACACGTATACATATTTACTATTTACAGGTTTTAAATAATAATAATATAATGCTATTATAACAATGATGACATTTTTATATCAAGTGAAGAATCAAATATCAAGTGAACATTCAAATATCAAGTGAACATTCAAATATCAAGTGAACAATCAAATATCAAGAGAACATTCAAATATCAAGTGAACAATCAAATATCAAGTGAACAATCAAATATCAAGTGAACAATCAAATATCAAGTGAACATTCAAATATCAAGTGAACAATCAAATATCAAGTGAACATTCAAATATCAAGTGAACAATCAAATATCAAGTGAACAATCAAATATCAAGTGAACAATCAAATATCAAGTGAAAAATCAAATATCAAGTGAACAATCAAATATCAAGTGAACAATCAAATATCAAGTGAACATTCAAATATCAAGTGAACAATCAAATATCAAGTGAACAATCAAATATCAAGTGAACATTCAAATATCAAGTGAACAATCAAATATCAAGTGAACAATCAAATATCAAGTGAACAATCAAATATCAAGTGAACAATCAAATATCAAGTGAACAATCAAATATCAAGTGAACAATCAAATATCAAGTGAACAATCAAATATCAAGTGAA